TATTTTTTTTTTTAATCCATGATTGAATTTTTTTTTGTAATCCATGATAAATTTTTTTGAAAATTTGTGATTTTTTTTTTTTAATCCATGATCGATTTTTTTTGAAAATTTGTTATTTTTTTTTTAATCCATATTATTCAAAGGGAAAATGAGAGAGATGATGATTCTGAGGCCACCCTATCCCAGCCATATTATTCACATATCGAGTCCCAACAGCAACAGTATAGGGATGAGCACGACAGTGCAGGTGAGCATGAAGGATGGACAATCTTCGGGGAGTTTAGATTGGGAACACAACAAAACACTAACACTCAGGGATTTGGGAATAGTCAGACGCCTGCTAATATTGATGATTCGTTTTTAGATCGAATCAATGAATTGTTAAACGAATTCAATCAATGGCACCAGCGTGACCAAGAAGAGCAATAATGTCGTCTATCATTTTATTTTTAGATCTTATGTTACTAATTTTATGCTTTATTGTAGTCCATGTATGTTGGTATACTTATTCCATGATAATTCTATGTTTATCCTTTTGTGTGATGTAAATTAAATGCTGAATGGCGGTTCATGCAGGGAAAGAACATATCAATATTCGCATATTCATTCAAAAACATGAAAATTCTTAATGGAGTACTCTCATTTCTTATTGAATTCCTAAAAAACAATATTTATAATGAATTTTAATATTTTTTTCGGACTTTTTTTTAAGCTTTATTCTGACCGATTCAACCGATTCCCGATCCGTATCGCCGATTCACCGATCCCGATCGGTTTTTTGGGAGCCCGATCCGGGTCACCGATCCGTTTTTTAAACCATTGGTTTACCCTTTTTAGGGATGGCAATGAAACCATATATGACCGGTAGACTCGACCTGGGTTCAGGTATGGATTAAAAAATTGGATACGACGTGTTGAGTCCAGATTCAAAATCTTGGACCCGAACATTATTCAGGTCTAGGTCTAGGTCTAGTTCTAGGTCCATGTGGACTCAACTCGAATAGTGTTGATATTTAAATAATATTTAAATAAAGAAAAAGTTTATATAAGGTTGCAACCTTAAAATATAGAATTAAAGATGCACCTCACAAATCTATTGAAAAATGTTGTTTTATTGTTGAAAAACCCACTAATTGATCATCTTGACATCGAGATGTATATATACGAAAAAAAGAAAGAATTTGTGTCTAAAAAATAGTGCATCTTGCAACAAACTATCTAGATTGTCCATTTTCAAAATTTTCATATGTTTATAGATCTACTTGATTTTAACTATTTTATGAGTTTTCAATATTTTTAATTAGATATGAAAATAGATTTGAGATAATCCTAAGAATTCTTTACACCAAAATTATATGCTATGATAAAATATAAAGGTACGCCTTAATTAGATTGTTTACGGCTACAACCTTATAAAAACCAACCCCTTTGTTAGATTGTTTACGGTTGCAACCTTATAAAAACCATTTCCTTTAAATAAAGGAAAAAATTTATATAAGGTTGCAACTTTAAAATGTAGAATTACAGATGCACCTCAAAAATCTATAAAAAAATATTGTTTCAATGTTGAAAAACCCTCTAATTGATCATCTCGACATTGAGATATATGAATATGGGAAAAAAAAGATATTAAGTTCCAAAAATAATGCATTTTGCAACATATTATCTAGGCCATCCATTTTCGTTCAAAAAATAATGCATTTTGCAACATATTATCTAGGCCATCCATTTTCAAGATTTTCAAATGCTTATAAATCTACTCGATTTTAATTATGTTTAGAATTTAAAGTTTTAAAATAAGATATAAAATTAGATTTTCAAATAATCTTAATAATATTTTACACGAAAAATATATGTTGTGATAAAATTTGGAGATGCACTTTAATTGGATTGTTTAAGATTGCAACGTTATCGAAACCACACCCTTAAATAAATATAATTATAACTAAATATTTTAATTATAATATTTAAATAATAATATATATTTAATAAATTTATAAAATAAATTTAAAGATACGGTTAGTGTGATTTTTGAATTGGACGAGTCCTGCATTACATTTTCGAGTCCGGTCCAGCTCAACCTGGGTACGCCTTACATAGGCCGCGATAATTTGGTCAGGGTAAGTTTGTCTATTTAGCATATGATTGTGGCCTTTTCAGTTATTACAGCAGTAGGTTTTAAAGGCAGTAGCTTTCTCTGAAATCGCAATGCCTCTCCCCCTTCTGCTCTCACTTACGCTGCAGTGAAACTCTCCCGCCCAAAGATGGCGAAAAAGAGGGACGAAAAGAGGGGACAGAGTTTATTTTCTCTCTCTAAAAAATATTCTTCTGTAGCCTAGAGAGAGAAGAAAAGATAATTGCAGGAAGGGAAGCAATAACGAAGATGAATAAAGGGGAAGTTGCTTATTTCCTCTGTGTATTATCGCTTCTTCTGCATCTCTGAGAGAGGTATTGAGTCTTCTTGTCTAGCTCTGAGAGAGAGAGAAGGTGAGGAATAAAGAATTATAGAATTAAAGAAGAAAAGCGAGGGGAAAGCTGCTTCTTCTCTCTCTGTATCAACTCTTCTTATCAGTTTTTAGAGAGAGAAAGAAAGGACAAGGAGGAAACAGCCATGCCTAGGGTTTCTGCTTTGGATATGCCCGATGTTCCAAAGGGGCAGCTGCCAGAGCACCTCAACTTCCAGAGAACTCGTGTTCTCTGTGCTTCGGATGCTGCTCTACACGTAAGTACTTGTACTTCCTTTCAGTTTAAGGTTTTATATGTGTCTCGCTTGCATATCTCAGTGGGTTTTGACACATTTGGGGTACTTTTCGGTGAATATGACTTTTTAGGGTTTCATTTGTTTTTGGGTGGTCGTTGAATCGATGAATCACCATAAATTTCAAAATGAACTTAAAATGGGCTTGAGGAGCTTAATCGCTGTCAAAAGATGGCGAGGCTCTAAGTCGTCATTGTGCATTTTGACCTACCAATATCTCCACTCTTTGTTGCTTTCTAATTTTCACTTTATTTTGATTGGTAAATGTGGGACTTTTAACCTTTAAACTTGGGTTGAAATGAACGATTATCTCACAAGGCTAGCCAATTGAGCCGAATCTGTTCTCTTTTTCCTTTTCATTTTAAATAAGGGATTGTATACAATGAGACCTTTTACCTTTGATACAAGGTAGTCACAATTACTTACAACTCTCCCATGTGAAGTTTGATAGCTTGGACGTGTCACAAAGTTCGAGAAAACTTCTTTTGAAGTTTGAGCTTGGTCAATGGAATAATTATAGCCGCCCAATTTCATTTCCAATGGTCAAGATTAATGTCTCACCTTGTACCAAAGGTCAATGGTCTTATTCTATACTTTCCCTATAATTAGGTAGAACCAAATTATTCAAAGCTTCGTTTGTTGGTTTTGACTGTTTCACTCATCAATTTTTAGTTTCTTGAGTAATGATAATTCCTTAAATTGAGATCTTTTCTGAGAATGTCATAAAGTAAAATGAAATTACATGAGCACATTGGATTGGAAGTGGGCCGTCAGGTATAATCATCTCCTTTCTGCAATTCACACCCACTGTCGAGAAAAATCTTTAGATATGGGAAAAAATGATGGTCAATGTCCGTTGCATTGACAGTATTTTAACCAAACTCTCTCTCTCTCTCTCTCTCTCTCTCTTTCTCTCTGTGGGCCTAAACTCCAACTGGAGCTTTCCTCTCTGATTGCTTACTTTGATATTGAACTTCAATGAACTGTGGAGTGTCATCTCATCCTGACTCTTGGAAACATCACAACTCAAGTTCAAAGCCCTCAGGCCACACAGGTGGGTGACCCGTTAGAACCCACTGGTCCGATCTTTTAAGCACTTCATTTTCCTATTTTAGTGGCAAGTATGAAAGTATCTTGCAAATAATTCATAGTTTATGGTATTCCTTTCTCAAAATATCTCTTTCCTCCATGTCCTAAAGGATGCCAATTCAACTAACTAGCCAACAGCACAGTCAATCATGAAGACTTCCCTGTAGATAGGGTCAGTTTACCAGGATGATATCTTGTCATTCTTGGCCTTTATAATATAATTGTAAGTATATTTTTCTCAATAAAACTTCGTTAGTTATCAAGAGAAGTTATTCTTAATGTATGAGGTATGGTTTTCTGGTTTCTTCTTTTGGTGGAAATTGGAAAGTTCCTTTAATAGTTGAGCATCACGGCCTGATGATAAATAGCAATGCGGAGTTTTTGGTTACAATCCTATGGTTACCTGTCAAAAAAGGAGCAAAAACTTGAATTTAAGCATTTCTCCTATTGATTCTGTATCATATGTAAATCTTACCCTTTTCTTGATATATGTGCATGTGTTTCTATTGGTGTTTGAAGACAGAAGGTATTCAGTACTCTGGAGCTTATGCATCTATGGGGGTCGATAATAGTCTCAATTTGGAAAAGTTTTGTGAGAATTTCAAGGTTGAAGTGATTGATATCAAGGATGAAGAAAGTTCAGGTACAGATTGGGATAAAGAAAATTCTATTGAATTCGATATGGTGGGCATTGACGCTTCATTGGCAAATGCTTTCCGAAGGATTCTCATTGCTGAGGTATACTAGAAAATATTTCTTCATTTATGAACAGTCGTTAAAGAAAAAAGCTGATCAAATTCTGCTTTCAAAATGGTCATTTGTGTTATAAGATTCTTATCGTTTGTGGTTTTTCATGATGTGTTTCCTCTCAATGATTCTTCTTATTCTGAAGGCCGAAGAGCTGATACCATTTTTGTTTAAGCTCCTTTTAGATAGTTATAATTATTTGAAAATTTATAGACTTTCTGATATGTTGTGATCATTGAACTTATATTTCCATTTAATGTTTGGTTAATTTGTATTAACCCTCACCCAGATGCACATAGATTGTTGACACTACCATTTCTTTAATTGAAATGCATGTTCCCATTGTTTTTCACACAAACATTATATTCTAAAGGAATCATTTAGTAAAGATAACGGTGTATGTATCTTTGGGTGGTTCATTACCATGTTTATGATTGTTTGGTATTTTATGTGAAAATACAAATGTGAGATACATATAAATGAAATACAATTGAACATACATACACACTAACACTAAAAAAAAAGCACAATTAACTCTTGCAGGCACACCTATTCTTTTCTTCCTATACGTACTTTTCATGTGCCCCTAGACCTTTTAAATGAAGTTGTTGCTTCTCTTGCTCAGACTCCTTGCAGAGGTTGTTCTTAAGTTGGCAATTATGGTTCCCATGATCAGATGGTCTGTTTTATATTGATATAAATCGTTATATTATTGGTTTTATAGTATGAGATAGCATTTCTACCCTGTTCACTAGTTCTAAAATTTCAAGGTAAGAACAAGAAAAAGATAATCACATTAACAATTGCATTTGCTGCTCTTTTGGTCTAAGGCTAGGCAACCACTTCCGTTCATGAGTTGTTGCACTCACTCTTTGAAATTATTAGGTTAAATGATTCACTTGAGATTTTTCTTGTTGGTGTAATCTTGTATTTGGATACATGCTGTCATCCATTGCTTTTGGGTTTCGCAGGTGGATTTCAAGAGGATAGAGCGAGAGAGAAACTCATACTCTCCTTGAAAAGAAAATTCCCATCTCCTTTTAGAGGGGATGAATTTTATTTCTCTTGCACCATTTCCAGCTGGATCTGAGTATTACATATCCATTGAATTAGAAAACCCTTGGTTATTAGCCCTAGTGGGGGCCTTTTGTAGGATTTAATATCTAGAGAGAGAAAAAGAAGAAGAAAAGGGAGAAGAAAAAGAGGAAGAAATATGGGGATGAGAGGGAAGGGACGCTGGGAAACTAAGATGTTCATACTTTCTCCCCCCTCAAGGGTCGTGATCTCTATGAGTACAGAAAAATTGCAGGAATACTCCTGGCTGATCACTTTATGGAGATTGAAATACTTCCAAAAGATCATTATTTCTACTCCCGGTCGGAGGGCAAGTTGTAGTGCTCCTCTTTTTCCATGTGTGTCAGTCAGTCAGCTTAACGGGACAGATATTTTTCCAAGGTTCACGATTCTCCTTGTAAATTTCAGTGAGTCGTAGGGTGTCACTTGAGCTTTCTTCCAATGAAGTTTTGGAGCTCCTCTCTCTCTCTCTCTCTTTCTCTCTATTTCTCTCTAAGACTCTTTTCTTTAACACTCTTCTTTCTCCTCCTCTCTCTTTTTATTTTTCATTAGAATACGAGCCTCAAATGAGGTGAGGCCACTTTTCTATAGAGAAGAGGAGAGACGCAGTGAGCTCCTATTGGTTCAGCACGTATGCCCTTGTAGGGTTGGTGGGCTCCTATTGGTTGAGCACATATGGCCTTTGAGATTTGGGGCCTCTTTGTTATGCAATGCTTAGTGTTGTTAAATGTAATTGACCCCCATTCTTACAATTTGATCGGTCAATAAGAGAAGAATATTTCTTTGAATTAGAGAATGTTCTTTCCCCTCGCTCTTCTCCGCTGTGGGCATTGGAACTATGACTATGCTTCTTGAAAATGTTTCCATTTTATGTTATCTTCTTTAGGATCATAGAAAGAGACTGCCCTTTTGTGATGTCCATTACTAAAAGGAGGGAGGGGCACATGTTTTAACATTTTGTATCCCCCGTCATATGATGTGAAAAAGGCGAGTCTGTAGGCCAATTGTTTGCATGGTCCACAATCTCTCTCGCACAAGGTAATGTCGCATCCAACTCCGATGTGCTAAGAGCGAGGAAATCTTCCCATCATAGTGAACTCTTTTCTGGTCTACATCCACAGGCTGCTAAAACCTGGCTTGTGCATTCTAGTCACCATTGTTGCCCGCGACTATCGCTATCCTCCAAGGTTACTGTTCTTTGTCTTCTTCAGCATTCTACACTGCTTCGCAAAATGTCCTGGCTTTCTTTAACAATAGTAAGTCTCATGTTGTTGCTTATCCTGTGATCCGCCATTGTGATCCTTAAGTTTGACTTCGAAGGCTGATTTTGTTTTTCATTCCCCATTGCCCGTGGGTTGTTGCAAATGCATCCTCTTACTCATTCATCGAGAGACCGGCCATCTATCTTGCTAGAGGCACTTGATTAACCAAGAGATTCTCCAACTTGACCAACTATGTTTTGTGGGCCATCCTTGAATCACGGCCAAGAATCCGTGAAACTCGGTCTTAGCATGTGAATTATCAATCTACAAATTCAATGTCTCCAATCCGCAACTTATTTGAAGTTGGGGGATCTCATTTCTTAAGTTCTTTACTTTCATAAACTATTGAGGAAGTGAAAGTGATCCTTGTCTCTACGATCCGAGGTCATTTTCCAATAAGTGCATTCAGGCTATGTTCATTCGTGATAACAACACTGAGAACCTGTCACATTCCTACTTTGATGGCTTTGCATCCTTGATGTGGTTCATCAAGTCTTGTATTGAGGATTTCAGCAGGTATAGTGCCTTGCTCACTTTGATCTTCCACTTCCTCAAGGCCTCCCTATTCACAGCGTCTCTTGGGGATGCTGCCCATGCTGGCAAGATGCCAGTTGATGTAATTGTAGTTGCGGAGCTTGTAGATTACAACCATCGATCTTCCGTTGTTTGCTATGTTGGTTGTGTTTTCTTCGATCCTGATGCTCTGACCTCTCAAGCCAGCACCCAGGATCATGATCCTAGCTTGTGCCTCTTGTCGATTCTGACGCTCTAACCTTATAAGTTGAGCACCCAGAATCATGATTGTCAATTATGTTTTCCTAAATTCTAACGCTTTAACCTTTCAAATCCGGCACCTAAAATAACAATCCTTGCTTAATACCTCCTGTTGAACTCGAATGCCCACTTTTAGTCTCATTCAGACCTTGCTACGATGCCCACTTTATTAATGTGCACTTCTCTGTGATGAACCACGTCTCTGTGATGAACCACATCCACGTTGATTGTCTATGCGTTGAAGACCTTTCTTGTGTTCAACTCCTCAGCTGCACAATGAAGGCATTTGCTGCATAGATCGACACGAATGCATTTGACACATGTCAGCTGAATCAAACACCACTACATTGATTGTAGAGAAGGAGTTGGCAGAGTTGCCTTGGTTGAACAAACACTTACATTAAACCTCAAAGCACAACTCCAACGCACCATGATCACCTGCAGATCAAGGCGACAAAAAAACTAGGAACAAATGACCAAATAACAAGGAATTATAAACCACTAATTTGCAGCCTTGAGAGAACAGTTTTTTGAGGTTACTACATTTTACTATATTTCATCAACAAATATCTGTCAATGATCTTCATCAGAAAGAACCCAAGAATATCTTTAGAGTGAAAAAGAATTCACGTTAATGCAAATATATCATTACGAGGATCACACACACACACACACACACACACACACACACACACACACACATATATATATGTATGTATATATAGCACATAAACTGCAGTAGTCACAAGTACTCCTAGGCTGGAATAGATGTTGCTCGATACTCAGCTTCTGTCGTAGACAAGGGCACCTTTAGGCACCTCTTGTTGCACCAAGAAATTACTCGTGACCCTAAGCTAAACACGTACTCTGTAGTTGAATGGGCCTGGCTATGGTGAGGGCTGGCCCGACCCATTGCTAGTCTTTATATATATTTTATATATATTATTAAGTCACAGTTAAGGATAGACACTTGTCGCGAGAATAAAAGGGGACCCTATCCTCAGAAAATGCAAGATAGTTGACCTTTAAGGAGAAGTTTGGGGCACCCTCTAGGCTAATAAGGATTCTATTTTATTAAGGCACCTAAAAAATTGGTGCATGTTTACCTTTCTATATTTTTTGCTTTAAATCTCCCACGAGTCTCTCTTTATCTCCGTATACTTTTTCTTTAATTCTTATCTTCTCTTAATATTCTATTTTTCTCAACTTCCTATTTTTATGGGAAATCCCACCCTTTTCTAAAATTTGTGCATGAACGTTCTTCAAGCATGACACATATTTCTAGTCCTAGGTTATGACAAGAGAGAGATGGCTATATAAGAGCATCTACATATACCTTGCACATTTGGATCATTATTAAATAATTTGGATTGCTATGTGATTAGGAATTGTTATTCATTGCTTTTGGTTCTTTTGCCCTGTCCATTTTGTCAATGCATAACAACCGCCCTGCCAATGGATTTTCAAGCATTGTGTGTACCAATTAAATTGATGGTCTAGATTAATTGCAAACATTTTAGTGAAGCTAGAAGATTTTATACTTCCGTGGATACATGCTCCCTAGGGCCGAAACACTATACATGAGTATGCTACGATCCTAGTTAACATTTAGGGGCCGTTTGGATACCTGAAAATCTATTACGTGACAATAGATTACAAGGAAATATGGCATTTACACTGTTTGGGTATACTTAATCGTAAGGAAATGGAAAGAGATTACGCGAGATTTCCCAAAAATCAGGAAATCTGCTACGCGCGATGATAGGTGAAAAATCTATTACGGGAGTGACGGGTAATTTGGGAAATCTTTCGCATACGTTTTTGCCTACCTTATCCCTGATTAAAAAAATAAAGCCCTCTCTCTCTCTTCATAATAACTAAGGTGATCCTGACCTTTTTGGGCTCATCCCCTCATCTGACGGCATCAGCTGTCATATAAAAACAAAAATAATAAAAATAAAAATCAGTAATCAATGATAAATTACACAACACAATCATAATAAAAAATTTCACCCAACATAATCCTCATAAGAGATTACTAAAATCTCAATTAAAATAACATACCTCTTTAGTCTCCTCCAATACCTCAAAATTTTATAGTGCAATTACCAAACCTTCTAGTTTATTAATCACGCTTCTTCCCATTTTTTAACTCGTACCATAGAGATTTTGAATTTTGTATCATAAATTTATTGTTTATTTATATAGAGAGATATTTGAAAGACTTCTATAAAAAAATAAATAAAAATAAGGCTTATTATAATAAATCATGTTATTCCAATCATATTGTTCCAATGACTTATCATGTTGAAACCAATGTCATGTTAGAAAACATGTGATTCCATGTAAGTGCCAAAGGCACTTAAAATAAGTAGGAAATGGTGTCATGATGACTGTAAAATGGTACAAGTTATTATTAGAAAATCTTTTTGAAATGGTGATGATGTTAATCTTTTTAGAATGGTGATGATGCTAATCTTTTTAGAATGGTGTGATGATGATTTTAATTCCGTATTTTAGTGGAATTTTGTGACAAAAAAAAAAGAAATGATAATTTTGCATTTTAGTGGAATTTTGTGACAAAAAAGAAAAAAATGATAGTTTATAGGCACGTGTTGGTAAAATGTTGGTAATGCATTTCCTATATTTCTTCCAGACATAGCCAAACAATAACAAAGTATTTCCCAGGTTGCATCTAAATACTGCCCAAACAGTAACAATCCATTTGCAGGTAATGTATTACGCCAGTAATATATTTCACAGACAATATATTTCCAGGTATCCAAACGGCCCCTTAATTAAAACAAGAGTATGTGGAGGACCAAAATTCAGGACAAAACCTCCTCAATCTGGCAATCCAAAAAAAGAAAAAAGACCATACAATTTTATATGTGACTAATGAAAATAAAGTCCAAAAATTGGACAGAGACCATCCAATTTCTTGACAGTTAGATCTATAGAGATTGCAATCCAATATTTTACTAGTCTAGACCATATGATTTCGGAATATTTCTATTGTGCTAAACTATCTCTTTCTAGGTTTCTCAACCATTAAGATACCTTTCGAATGATAAATGATAAATTTTTGGATACAAAAAATTATTTCGTGAATCACACTTACTCTTTCCTTAGATCACTGCTATTCTCTCCCCTAAAATCTGGAACTTCCCTTTAGGATAGGGACAATTAGAAAATTTAGTAGAAATTCTCTCAAACTACTCTTTATATGTGGGTATTTTCTTCTCTAATTTTAAGATGACCAAAATATAACTGGTGAATGCGGATTAAGAGGAGTGGGAACCAAATTTTGGAAGCTTTAAATATTAGGTTCCCATAATAATAGGAAAAGTTGGGTCTAGCCCACAAATCAGACTGTCCTATGGGCACTCATTCCTCTTCCTTTGTAAGGCCGTCTTGGCCATAAAGCCCATTGGTCCCTCATAGACCGATCCACACTCTTTCAAATTGGGGAGTCTCTCTATATTTCAGTAATAGCGTGTGTACTTACATGGGGGTGACACCAGAGCCAAGCCCTTTAAATGCAACAAAAACTCGACAATGGAATTCTCGTAACCATATCTATGGCTTGGTCTCTTGATTAAATGCCTAGTATCAGCTTCATGTGTTCCATGCATCTATTTATTTAGATTTATAGTGGTCTCTGTATGATGAAAAAAATAGACATATATTAATTGCATAGGGATCGCCATGGTGTCATGGCTTTCAAGATTTGTCATTTGGAAATACCATATTAAACTTTTACTTATCAAGACACAGAATACTATGGAAATTTCATTGTTATTTTTTAAGATTCTATTGCAGTAGTTGGATTTATTGTGCTCCTTTGGAGCTCTTACCTGGTACACAGGCTCGTGCACACACATATATGTAACTGTGTGTGTATGTGTGTGGGTGGGTGTTGTGTGTGTGTGTGTGTGTGAGAGAGAGAGAGATTGATTTATTATGCTTCGCATAGAGAGAGATTTATTATGCTTCACATACGTGCAGGTTCCTACGATGGCTATTGAGAAAGTCCTAATAGCAAACAACACATCAGTAGTACAAGATGAAGTGCTGGCTCATAGGTTGGGTCTTATACCTATCAAAGTTGACCCCAGGCTATTTGAATATAAATCAGGTTTGTGTTCTGGACAACATATTGTAGAAATACATCCTATGTATCGTATGCAATGCACATCCAGGGCATCCACTTAATTTGTTCTTGAGATGAACCTTGTAGGTGGATCATAGTTCCAAAGGCTGGCATTCACCCTGGCATTCACCCTGGAATTATGGTTCATTTCCACTGAGAATGGATGGTAGATGTCCTGGACTCATATTCCACACTTACATAGTTTACTGTGTTTATTCTTATTAAGCTCTTCATTGTAAAACTTTCCTTTTTTGAAATTAGTCATATGATTAAATTTAAATGCTTTTTTTTTTTGGTGGCAGAAAATGATGCTGCTACTGAAAAAAATACCATTGTTTTTAAACTACATGTTAAATGTGGAAAGGACTCTACCCGTCTCACAGGTATGCCTCTATTGTGGAGAATGATTTGGTTGGTAGCTCAGTCTATATTGTTGTGCGGACCTTTTTCTCCTTCCTTTTTTTTTTGTGAATGATTAGCCGTGTGATTTTTTGTGTTTTTTTTTTTTAGAATGTTCACTTGATTAGCCCTGTGATTTTGTCTCATGTTTTTTCGTTATCTTGTTTTGATGCCATCATATGCAGTGAAGTCGGATCAATTGAAGTGGCTACCAGGAGGGAGTGAGCTTCCAATGGCAGCAGCCGACTCTTCTTCGAAAATTAAAACATATACTTCATTTAGTTGTAGCCAAGATTCTCTGCCTGAATTTTCAAACAATCCAATTACCCCTGCATATCCTGACATTACCATTGCTAGGCTTCGCTCAGGCCAGGTAATAAGCAATTTTCTTAGTAGGTCAGTTTATTAATAAGTGGAATCTTTTGTTTATGTTTAGGGATTGTTTACAAAGAGACCATTTATCTTTTGTGCATGGAGGTCACAAACATTCCCACTCATTTTAGATGTCAAATTGAATGGCTTGGGGTGAGTCACAAGTCCGAAAATATTATTTTTGGAACTTTGTGTCTATTAAATGACACTCTTACAGCCACCCATTTTGAAATGTAAGTGACAAGAATGATTGTGACTTCCATGTACAAAAAAGATAAATGATCTCTTTGTAGACAAATTTTATTCCCTTTTTTGTTTATCTTAATATATTTTTGTTATCTAAACACTTGGAATTGGTCTGGAGCCAGAATTTCATTGTCAAATTTATGAAGGCTTAGGTTTAACATGTTTTATTTGGTTTCACTTATTGGATATTGTTTATTACTTTTATTTTGAATGTAGAAAGTCACTCACCCATTCACCTTCCGTGTCTTTTTAAAGGAGGTTAATTACTGCGATGATCCTTAGAATGATATTTGACCTCCATATATTGTGTACATACAAAAAACAGCTTTAGTTATTTCTGTGGGGAGCACTATACTTGTATTTACCTTTTGTTTATATTCACATGCACACACATACATATGCACAACATTGTATGATATGGCATGCTGTATTCCATTGATATAATATAAGGAAAAAGTTTATGTAAGGTCTCCACCTTATACTATTAAAGTAAGGTGCACCTTAAAAATCAATCAAAAAAGGTTGTTCTAATGCTAAAACCCTGAAATCGATCATCAACTTTGAGATGTATGGATATTTGTGTGGTTGTGTAGGGGGGGTGGGGGATTCAAGTTATGAAATAGTGCATCTTTAAACACATTATTTGGCCCTTCTATTTTAAAAAATTGTAATATTTGTAGATCTGCTCAATCTGCATCGTTTTTTAGAGTTTTAAATTTCATAATTAGGTGTGACAAAAGATTTTCATGATATCACAAAGATTTCCGACACAAAAACTGCATCTGTCAGCATAGTTTTGAGGTGCGCCTTACTTGTAGGGTTGACACCTTATACAAACATTATCATCATTAGAGCCAACTATTTGGGGTGACACCTTATACAAACCTCACCTATAGTATAATATCGATGTAGGGTTATGTTATCACTATTTATTTTTGGGAAAGCTTTCTATACACCATTAGGTGTAGGGAATTCATATATGCCATCCCTCTCCCAGCCATCAAATCTAAATAGATGGATGAGATGGGCCTAGTCGCAATGTGACGCCCAAGCATTATTTTATTTTTAGTTTATTTTTTCTAGAAGTGATATTGTCACCAAATTTGGGGCGTCGAATCCTCTCTTAAGCTCACTCCTACAAAAAAAACAGAAAAACTGATAAAATAAAATGGCCAAGCCCTGAAAGTTTCAGGGGCAGTTTAGTCATTTTATTATTTTTGAAATATTTTTTTCTATATATTTTTTTGGTGCATCCCATTGAGATGATGACACACCAAATTTCATGTTCATATGATTTGTAGAATTTGTTTTTTTAAAAAAATGTACTCTGAGATGTTAGATCTAGCTCAAACGGTCAGTGGCTCACTCTTGACATAATGACTGAAGCCATCCCAGACAGCGGAAGAGAGTGGCATATAAATTCCCGATACCTAGTTGTGTATGGAAAGCTGTCCCTTTATTTTAATCTCTTGTACTTGAACACTTTCCAATAGTACTTTATTACCATTTCATCCAATGTTAAATTTAAATATTTTAAGCATGTGATAAGTTCCTTTAAAAATAGTCTTTCATGTACTTGAAAAGTGATTTAATATTCTAATGTTCAGATCTATATCATCATTTGTTTTTATTACTTGGGATGTTCTGGATCTACCATAGATACATGCCTCCACTAGTGAACCGCTCCCCTTCGGCACTCTCCCCGATCATGACTTCACTCCTGCTACGATAACAGACGCTTTCATCAAGCCTGATCTCCTTGCTTGGTCTGACTTGCCTGTCTTACCTGGCTTACTTCCCAGAAAAGAGATCTAACGAATTCCATGCAGTAAACCTGTACAAGCCCAACCTGGTACTAGTTTTGGGAGCTTTGGGGTGTGATCTGAATAGAAAATAGATATTCAACTCCATTTTGTGGGTCACTAAAGGAGTATGAAGGAATCCTCTTAAGGAGAATAAAATAAAATGACCCTAAAAGGGTGCCAAAGTTGAGTCTCTTAGGGACCTGGCTTGTGTCTAATTGTTTCATATATTATTGCATTAATGGGCCCCGTGGTCTTTTAACACTGTCCCCCCAGGGCTCTACTATGCCAGCTAAAATAACATTCTAAGGGAACATTATTGGAAAAAATTCAATAAAGATGAAATTCTAAGAGTGCCATTCTAATACTGTACAAAACCTGTATCTCTTGAAGATTTTTCCTTGCAAGTATACCAACTTTGTTGTTTTTTAAATATATAAAGGGGTGATCATCATGTTTGTAATAGTTGGAGCAACTATTGTACGAAGACTGTGTTTTCTGTTTTTAAATATATAAAGGGATGATTATCATGTTTGTGGTCGGTGGAGCAACTAATGTAGGAAGAAATTGTATTTTAGGGAGGGAGGTAAGGAGGAAGTCAGAGAGATTCTTTTGCGTCATTCTTTCTTTTAGTTATCTTTGCATGGTATGGCGCACTTCATGTTGCAACAAATTTATCCTCGTCTCATGAAACCAAAATAGCACTAGTCTAATTTTCTTACTCCCTCATCAGGAAATCGAACTTGAGGCTCATGTGGTAAAAGGACTTGGAAAAACCCATGCAAAGTGGTCGCCTGTGTCTACTGCCTGGTATCGAATGTTGCCAGAGGTACATCTACTCTAGAGAAGATAATTTAGTCAGTGATTACTTTCTCGAAAAAGACGGACAACAAATAACTTCTTACAAAGTTGAGCAAATTATGAATTACACAAAGGATTTCAAAATCCGTTTCTTTCTTTTTATATTCCAAACCCAGGTCCCAATTTTCCTTTCTTGGCTCTAATGTTAATTTTATTTGGTCCTTTTCTTTTTACTAGGTCGTTTTACTGCAAGATGTTAGAGGTGAAAATGCCGAGGAACTTGTAAAGAAGTGCCCTGCAAAGGTGTTTGACATAGAGGATGGTTAGTTGCTGTTTCTTCAAGTTGCTAAAAATCTTGAAACCCCACCCCCCCCTCCCCAAAACACACACACACACACACATGCACATGAGAGAGAGAGAGAGAGAGAGAGAGAGAGAGAGAGAGGAGG